TCCTTCCCCCTTTCCCCACCCTTTCTCCTTTCCCTTCCCTTCTCTTCTTCTTCTTCTTCTTTGCCCTTTTTGCATCTTCTATTTGAAGTGGCTCGGGGTTTGGCCTCTATCGGTTTTCACCAACGTTGGCACAATATTTACCTTCTCTTTACCTTAGCGTTCCTTCCCTTGGCCCTTTACCTCATTCCTCCTTCTCAGATCCCTTCCCACCTTTCCTTCCTTCTACCTTCTCTTTACCTTTACCTTCCTTTCCTGTACCTCCTTCCCCGTCCTGCCTTCCCCCTTCCCCCTTCCCCACCCTTTCTCCTTTCCCTTCCCTTCTCTTCCTCTTCTTTGCAGTTTTTGCGTTTTCTATTTGAAGTGGCTCGGGGTTTGGTCAACCAACGTTGTGCCCAAAGTTGTGCCCGGAATTGTTTGTTCCACCTGGCCCTCTTCTATTTGAAACCCTCCCGGCGGCAAATTTCCAAGCCCTTCCAATAGAAGATTGGCACAAGCAATTTCTTCTATAATAGAATCATGTACTATAGTAGTAACAATGTTTGCTATTAGAAACACGTGCCTTACTAGTAGTAACAAGAAGCTCCCAACAGGATAAAGAAGCAACAGCCATTTCCAGACTTTGAGGAGCGGACTCCAAAGCTCAGGCTCTACTGTTCTACAAGCTGGAACCTCGATATGTACAAAACAATGGCTACAATATGACTATATAACTACAGTAATTATTTGTGTGGATTGCTGAAATGGCCGTAAATAGCCTATATCTAACGTTATCTTAAGACCTTTCAGTACAAATCTAAAAGGGACAACGGAGCAATCTTTTGCCTTTCGGCGTGGCCTGAAACCATTGGCGGTCGTTGGACACCTTGGAGTTGGATACTTCAGGAAGTTGATGGAGCGTTTGTACAGCCAAGGAGCATCAAAAGCAAAGAATGCCTTGTAGCGCAATCTTGGTCTCTTTGCTTGAGTAGATGATTAGATTTGTGAGAAGCAAACGTGTCAATGTATATTATTAAACACTCTCATATCCACCTTCCCAATCTTTTTTGATGCGAGTCGGGACGAGCGGCCAGATAGTTTTTCATGCCTGCATAGCGTCCAAAGAGATAGGTCAAGATCACATCTGCCGCATTCCTTGCTGGAATGAAAACCAAAAGGTTTCGGGATTTTTTGAGCAAGATCAGAGCTGTCCGCACCAAGATCGAGCAAAAAGGTTATGATATGCCCCAATATTGAATCATCTACCTACAAAATCCTGGAGCTCTGTTGCTGTCACTACACAAACTACATTGGCTCACTTTAACTCAACAGACAACAACTTCCCTGCCAATGTTTTGGCCAACGAAATTGACGTGTTTCGAGTTTAAATGGTCTGAAGGGTTCTCAGGAATTTTTGAGCGAGTGGCTCAGCTCTTGTCCTTAGAGTGGCTCGCAGCAAAGACGGAATTGCAAAATGAACGAAAAATGTTGTTCTGCATCACATGTCACATACTGGAAGGACATAATGACTACGTCGTAACTACGTGCTTGCCCTTAAACGTTGCACTGCCAGCTGCTCGGAAGTGAAAGAGTGCATAGATTCCTGATAGTAGCTATATATAGATAGCTATAGGCTATAGTGTTCTTTCTTTGCCGGCCAGGTCACGCACTGGGCTGAAGTAGAAGAAGAGAAGCATCAATGCCGCAAGATAGCAACTGTGTCCGCAGTGACGCTTCCTGAAAGACAAGAAATGTTGCTACCAGGCTCACAGAAACAAAAGAATATGAATCTGCAGAAGGTACTTTTGGCTCCGCTTTTTTGGGGCCTGCAAATCTGGCCATTCGGAAGAGATTGGCTGATCCATGATTTAAAAGATGAAAAGAACCTGCGGTTTGCAGCTTGACGAATACCCATATGACCAGTCCTTCTTCTCACCGCTCCGAAATGCCTGTGCTGTGCTTCTCAAAAGCAGTGCAGAATGTAGAACTTCCAATTCGTGCCGCCGAGAAGCAACAAAAACTGCCACTTGTGACTTTCTGGAAAGCTGCCTGCATAAAGGCAACCCAACAAGCATCCCTGCTGCTGCTTGTCAACAGGTTCA